CGTGCGAAAGTTATTAAAATCTAAGAGATTTATTAAGGTATTAAAATCCAACTAAATAAATCATCCAGACTACATAATTTTCAAACTCTTTTAATTAAAACATTAAAGTTGCAAAAAGAAATAAACTATTTCTATATATATGAAAGATTATTTTGTTATAACCTCAACATTGGTTTGAACTGTGAATTAGCTAGTGACATAGAAATTAAACTGGTTAAATAATCCTTCATTCATGCATACGTTTCTTACCACATAAAAAATCTAAGTACTATTGTGTCATTATAGATTTATTTCAGGAATAAATCGCGGGTCCCCTAAGCCTATGATGGTATGTGGTCAATTTAATTTGCATGGTAGGTTATGAGATATCAATAAAATTTTATATATATAAAGGAAAATAAATCAATGAATTATAAAGTTTTAGTGTAACTACTAAACTTTATAGTTAATATGTTAAATCTATACAGTATTAATTGCATTAATAATGTGAACATTTACAACTCAGTTTAAACATCAGCCATATTGAAGAAATCTTTAATGCCGCAAACTGTGTACGATAAAAACACCCCCTAAAAAAGAGCTCTCACATTTCGATTGGTTGGAGCAACGACAGCCAAGATTCATGCAGGTCGGAGTTCGATCCCCGACGGTCCATGGGGTCGGGCACCGCTCCTTTCCTCCGACCTCATATCCCTTCCATGTAATTTATAGGCAAAAATTTTGGGGTTTCATCCTGGGGGGAATGTCAGTAGTTCGACTATGTTGGGGGGTGGCCTCGATATAAGGCAAAATTTTATATTATATATTATATATATCTATTATATATATATATATATATATATATATATATGTATATATATATATATATATATATATATATATATATATATATATTGTCGTACCTAGTAGCCAGAACACACTTCTCAGCCTACTATGCAAGGCCCGATTTGCCTAATAAGCCAAGTTTTCCTGAAATAATATACTTATGAAATCATAAAGCTACCCATTTCATTATGTATGAGATCAATTTTTTTTTATTGGAGTTAAAATTAACGTATATATATATATGACAAAACCTAACCAACCCTACCTAACCTAACCTAACCTATCTTTATCGATTAGGTTAGGTTAGGTAGCAGAAAAAGTTAGGTTAGGTTAGGTTAGGTAGGTTAGGTAGTCGAAAACAATTATTCATGAAAACTGGGCTTATTAGGCAAATTGGGCCTTGCATAGTAGGCTGAGAAGTGCATTCTGGCTACTAGGTACGACATATATATATTATAGAACACGAATATTATTATTATTATATGTGATATGTTTAAAGAAAATACTAATTTTAGAACTAATTAGCGTTCAACTGATAATTTCATGAGACTTCTTGTACAAAAACAATTTCTTACTGTTTCCTAAGTTTCTACTTCAAAATATTCTAATTAGCTATACACACACACACGAATATCACACCAAATATCAGCATTCGAAGTAGAAAAAATATACATGAATTGAGGAAAAATTAACACAAAATATATCTGCAGACATACCTGTTGACAATTCAAGGAAAAGCTTAGAAGTATTAAACATACTTGCACAAACTTTACTGGAATAATGCTGTAAAACAAGTCTACCTGTACTAAACATGCTTGAAGCAATAATTATGCTGAAATAAAAAAAAAGTATATTAAAACAAAGATCTTTTAACGAGAAAATATTTCATATTCAGCTGGCAAAGTAAAGCTGAGCATGACACCGGATGCATGTAAGCGATACAAAATTGTTCAAATAAAAGTAATATGGCATTCACATTAACACAGACTACTTCAAATAATAATAAATATGACAGATAAATCAGAATAATGTGAGATATATCTACTGATAAATGGGTACAAGTAGTACAGTTATTTGTACTACATATATATATATATATATATATATATATATATATATATATATATATATATATATATATATATATATATATATATGTCGTACCTAGTAGCCAGAACGCACTTCTCAGCCTACTATGCAAGGCCCAATTTGCCTAATAAGCCAAGTTTTCCTGAATTAATATATTTTCTATAATTTTTTTCTTATGAAATGATAAAGCTACCCATTTCATTATGTATGAGGTCAATTTTTTTTTATTGGAGTTAAAATTAACTTAGATATATGACCGAACCTAACCAACCCTACCTAACCTAACCTAACCTATCTTTTATAGGTTAGGTTAGGTAGCCGAAAAAGTTAGGTTAGGTTAGGTAGGTTAGGTAGTCGAAAAACACTTAATTCATGAAAACTTGGCTTATTAGACAAATCGGGCCTTGCATAGTAGGCTGAGAAGTGCGTTCTGGCTACTAGGTACGACATATATATATATATATATATATATATATATATATATATATATATATATATATATATATATATATATTATATATATATATATATACATATATATAATTGTATTACACAATTTTCAATCAATAAAACAGTAAAAAAGGCATACAAAATATTTTAAGTACACCCATTTCATAGACAAAACAAAGAAAGGTCTTATTACTTACAGAAAAGAGGGATTTAAAGTTACATTTAAGGGCAGCGGTGAAATGACCTCACTAATAATATATAAAACTAGAAATATTTAAAACTATATAACAAAATATATAGACTAATAATATATAAAACTGTGAAACGTCGTCGTTTCTCCATCTTCTGATGAGTGGTTTGCTCATCACAGAAAACTAATCTCTAAATGAGTTAATATTTCGTCATTCATATTTACAAAACATTCTAACACACACTGATACATCTACTACTATAATATTGATGTCTACTGTATCTACTATTACATCTTCCACTGTTAAATCTACTTAAAAATGTCTAAATTATTATTAGTTATCACTGGCCATTCGCTAACATTACTCTCCCTTTTAATATATTTTACCTCATTTCTCCCATCAAAAACCACTGGCTGGTGCTTTCCAAGCCAAAATCTGGCAACAGTTTTTTTTATTATTAATATATACAAGATTTCTTACATTCTTCTTCAGCCACTAGCACACACAGTGTTCCGGGCAAGTCCTTAATCCTAATATTCCCCGGAATACGACCCGCCAAATCGTTTAACAACCAGGTACCCATTTTACTGTTGGGGTAAACAGAGGCTACAGTTAAGGATTGACGCCCAGTAAATCCTCTTCGGCCAGGATACGAACCCAGAACAAACCGCTCGCGAAACACCAGACGAGTGTCTTAAACCACTACATTACGTATCGTGGGTTTTTTTCCGAGCCCAAACTCTGCCAAAACACTAATCAACGTTTTTTTTCACAGGTAAATTCCTGCGAAAATAGTTTAATACGAACCCAAAATCAAAACACTGGCTGTCAATTTTGTCCAGGAAGCCTCGGTCAAAAGACGGCTTGTAACTATATTCCTGCATGCATGTGATGGGTGAGGGGGTGCGTGTGGGTGTCTGTGAAGACAAGAGAAGTGTAAGAAAATATATTGGAAACAAATAAAAGACAAATCACTTAATGCTGTAATTTTTAAGGGAAATTTGCTATAAAGCATTCCAACAACATGGAACCTCTGAATATCGTTATTGACGATATTCGTTTTTAACTTACAACATAATATGAATGTGAATATCTTCACATACATGACATGCAGAAACAACAATGACAACAACAAGGGACTTCAAATAATGATGATAATAAACTCGATAACTGCAGGAAAAGACACAATAAGTCTCTAAATAACAGTTATAACAACAAAATAATATGATAATTATGATAACTAAGACAATCATTTTACAATAACAATTACAATACCCACAAGTACTATACAATACCATATGATAAGAAATCCCCCCCCCCCTAGACATATTAAGGAATTATTCCCACAGGAGGAGGAGAGGATTTCGACAGATATCCATTAAAACGACGTATCTAACACGTACAGACACAAGTCAACATTTGCTTACTGTTGAAAGACCTTCTGTTGGGATCAGAGCGAGTGGCTGAAAGCAAAGTTATGAGATTAATGCATCAAAAAATCATATATATATATATATATATATATATATATATATATATATATATATATATATATATATATATATATATCCAAAAATAGTTAAAAAAGAAAAACATTGTATTAAATACAAAAATGAGAAAAAATATAATAAATAATTTATCGTATACATGAGTATAATGAAAATTTCCAAGTAAATACTAGTAAGTGTAGAATATAGTCAGCAATATTATCAACAATTAACAACAAATTCTAGCAAATTAATAAATTTACAGTAAATACAACAAGGTGGGAAGCATCTAGCAGAATAATTAACATTAACTCACATACAAATACATTTGTTAAAGAAAACATTTCAAATGAACCTGTGTGTTATATTCACCTGCGTGTTATATTCACCTGCGTGTTATATTCACCTGCGTGTTATATTAACCTGCGTGTTATATTAACCTGCGTGTTATATTAACCTGCGTGTTATATTAACCTGCGTGTTATATTAACCTGCGTGTTATATTAACCCTGCGTGTTATATTAACCCTGCGTGTTATATTAACCCTGCGTGTTATATTAACCCTGCGTGTTATATTAACCCTGCGTGTTATATTAACCCTGCGTGTTATATTAACCTGCGTGTTATATTAACCTGCGTGTTATATTAACCTGCGTGTTATATTAACCTGCGTGTTATATTAACCTGCGTGTTATATTAACCTGCGTGTTATATTAACCTGCGTGTTATATTAACCTGCGTGTTATATTAACCTGCGTGTTATATTTGACAGCGATGAATTTTGTTGATCAAATCAACACCTCACCAAAATGTCAGAAATTATAAATTATAAAGTTTCCGACAATACATTTTCTGTAACATGTGATCACTAATTGTTTTCCAATGAATAGCTACTGTTATCGCGTGGCGTGTGTGTGTACTCACCTAGTTGTGTTTGCAGGGGTTGAGCTCTGGCTCT